ATATAGATAAAAACTAGACGTGGACATTTATTTATTAAGGAAAATGGACTGCATTAGTCAAAACTCTTTAGAGAGAACGCATAATGAGTTGCTGTTTTTGTGCAGGACCCACAAATCTGATGTGTTTGTGCCATTATTTGCTTTCTCAGACGTTATTGTGAAGGTCCGACTTTGATTTATCCTCCTTCCAAACTCACTGATTCAAAGAGCCCGACTCTAATTTCGCCTCCATATTTACTGCTAAGGCCACAGATTGTCAAGCTTTTGCTTGCAGCTGTATATCAAAGTTATAAATTATAGACTTTCTCATAATTTATGATTCCACCGAGGAATACTGAGACACTACATAAAACAAAGACAGAGAAAAACTATGCAAAAGAGAGTATTGCTAGGGACAGATCAACCGAGGTGGAAGCAGCAAGCAGTGACTTAAGTGAGAGGTCGCTTTTAGCTTGTGATGATGCAGAGTTGCGTTGCACGCTGCTGCTATAGCCTGTATGGGCACACAAATAATGGCGGCGTGATGGGAAAAGCTATACTGGTACAAAAGTCAACTCACCTTCACGTTAGCTGATATACCCTTACAGAAAAACAAAAGAACACAGTAAAGGACGAATCAACAAAGGAGCTTTTGAGGAGCACAAAACTGATAGAACATCAGGGGAATTTGCTCATAATAATAATAACAATAACAAATAAAAGAAAGAAAATGAAGAAAATAAAGCCATGAGAAGGAGATGAAACCACTTTGGGCTGTAGGATTATGGGATTTATAGTTCTTAAGAATGCAAGTCTGGGAGTGGAGATACGCTACCAAGCAGTAATCCATAAGCAAAATTTGAGCAATACTGAAATGGATCAAAGGGACTTTGGGGAGTTTTGCTACTATGAGGTTATTGGGATCAATGTGGCAAAACAATGCCGCTGCTTTGAAGAGTCCTGCTCGTGTGATAGTACGCAGAAAAAGTGTTATGGACAGCTTTTTAAAAAAAAACATTTTAAAGTTTCAAATTTTAACTGAGTCACTCCATCAACACAGTAACATAGAAAAAATTGACAGCAAGTTAATATATCTGTGGGGGACAAAAATGATTTGATCCCCTGCTGAATTTATAAGTTTGGTCACTTACAAAGAAATGAACAGAAATTTGCTCCATTTAAATGTTAGAAATGCACAACTTTAACAGCGTATCAAATAATTTGCCCTCCTGCATAACTGACTATTTAATCATGTCGTCACTAGTTTTTTTTTAGGATCAGCCTCAGCCCCTGCCTTGCACTGTGACCATGCTGTGTGTGCAGCTTTGCGTCTTACCTTGGTTTCTGTGCGCCGTGTGGTTCCATCATCAGAGGTGACCACTGAGACGTGGGAGGTGGGGGTGCCGGGGTCTTCTTCAATGGTGACCGTCTCCTCCACCACCTCCTGCGGCTCTTGCATCATGGCCAGGGACGTGGCGTTACTGGGGCTCTGCTCCTGTGCAGAGAAAAGTAAAAAAGAGAATCTGAGAAAAACTGAACTGAAATAACCGACAGATTAAAAAAAATAAATAAATAAATAAAAATCAGTTGTTAAGATAGAGTGGAGAAAAACAGAACAGCATCCAGGTAATCATCCATTAGACATACGACAAGATGAAACTTTAATTGGGCCGCAGCAGCAACAAATGACATTAGAATCCAGCAGAGAGAAGCCGAGCATAAATAAGAACATTGCAAATGAAGTGTATTAAATATAATGCCACCTGCAATTTGCAATGCAACACTCGAACATCAAGTAGATGGAAAGTGTGAAGCGCATGGCGTGAATAATAATGTGTAGAAAAAACCGCTTGAAAATACACGGATATGAATAATAAGTGTTTACGATTTCCAAACACGATGCGGTATGAAAAAAAAGGGCTGCAAAAAATATTCATGAAAATTACTGAAATATGAAAATGTAACTTTATTGTATGGATATAATTAAAAAAAGGACTTAGCTGCATTTGAAATGTTTACGTTATTGTCACTGTAACAGCAGCAGATTTAGGATAGAGAACATCAGACATGCACTGATTCAGTAATTGAATTGGATAGTGGTTGGACAGTGACTCAGAAAGCTAGACTGGACATCGATGACAATGGGCCAATCGATTGGGTTCGGTCTTGCTCTGTGTTTACTATGCCACGTGTCAGCAGTCAGCGCAGTGATTGTTAGAACAAAACCTAACATAGCATGGAGGAAGATAACAACAACGTGTCAGCAGATTGGAGGTATTCCACACGTCTTGCTTGTGGCAGGTAAGTTTGTGACTTAAACTGTGGCCAGGTGTCTTCATTCGACTGAAAAACTGTTGACAACTCTCTCTGTCACAGTGCTCTGCAAAAGCCTTGAGCCATTCCTTGGTTCTTTATATATTTGCTAGGAAAATGGGTGAAACAATTTCTTCAAATGTTTTCTTTGTTTTCTTCAAAAGATGTGGCGATCGTGGCTCAAGAGTTGGGAGTTCGCCTTGTAATCGGAAGGTTGCCGGTTCAAGCCCTGGCTCGGACAGTCTCGGTCGTTGTGTCCTTGGGCAAGACACTTCACCTACCGCCTACTGGTGTTGGCCAGAAGGGCCAATACAGTTCTGACAGGTTTAAAATCAATATTTGGAGTGACCAGCTTTGCTCTTCAACACAGATTGAACTCTTTTAGACACGCTTTTTTATCATTTCTTTAAGTAGTCTTCAGGAATATTTCTCTAGGCTTCTTGTTTCTACCTCGAGCTCTGATCTCGGTCAAGATAATCCCACACTGCTTCATCAATGCTGAGGTCTGGACTCTGAGGAGGCCAATGACGATTTAAAATCTGATGGTACTTTTCTACATTCATATTTCCATCACTTCTAACAGGATCCCCACAGCCACTCACAGAACTACAGCATGAAACCATGACAGAGCCTCTACCATGTTTTATTAACGGCAAAAGACACCACTGTTAAACCTCTCTCCTGATCTCCCCAATTCATAGTGACAATGATTTGAATCAGAAATTTCAAATTTGGATTTAACACTACAAAATACCTGATGCCACTAATTGTCAGTCTAGTTATTATATAATTTGGTGTACCTCGGTCTTTACTTCCTGTTTCCCTTTAACTGAGTTTCAGATGACGCTTCAGTGAACAGTAGATGGATCAGATGAAGAGTCAGATACATTTTACCATACAGGGAAAAGCAAAAACAAACAAACAAAAACAAAAGGGGGTACAAAATACACAGATTGCACAGATGCACAGATTCAACATTAAGCAAATCAAGTTCAAGCCATCCAGGTTGATCAGTGACCGTCCCATATGTCATTGACATACAGGTGGTGTAGGTATAATCTGAGGTTCAAAAAAAGGAGCTTCGTAAGGCATCATTACATCATTCATTGACAATAAAAGGGTTTAACAACAAGCACATACATATCTACTTCAGGTTTTCTGTCAAAATACCTTATTCCACATAT